CAATTACTTTCAATGTAAATCAATTAAATGCTCCAATCAAAAGACATAAGGTGGCTGAATGGATAAGAAAACAAAACCCTTACACATGGTGCCTACGAGAGACTCAGTTCACATCAAAAGGCAGACACAGACTGAAATTAAAGGGATGGAAAAAGATAGTTCATGAAAATGGAAACAAACAAACAAATAAAAACAGCTTAGGTAGTAATACTTATTCCAGACAAAATAGGCTTTAAAACAAAGTTAGATAACAAGAGATAAAGAAGGACCCAGTAATCCCTCTTCTGGTTATCTATCTGAAGAAACCCAAAATACCACTTCGAAGGGACATGTGCATCCATATGTTAATTGCAGCATTATGTACACAGCCTAAATATGGAGGCAACCTAGGTGTAGACAAATGAATGAATTATTAAAGGGGTGGTACATATATACAATGGAATATTACTCAGCCATATAAAGGAATGAAATCTTGTCATCTGCAACAACATGGATGGACATAGAGGGTATTGTGATTAGTGGAGTAAGTCAGAGAAAGACAAATGACATATGATTTCACTTCTATGAGGAATCTAAAGAATAAAACAAACAAAACAGAAACAAACATAAATACAGAGAACATTTTGATGGTTCCCAGATGGAGGGATGTTGGGGGTGAGCAAAATAGGGAAAGGGGTTAAGAAGAACCAATTCGTTGTTACAAAGTAGTCATGAGGATGTAGGGTGTAGTATAGGAATAAAGTCAGTAATATTATAACTAAGTATAACGTCCAGTGGGTACTAGATTTATTGGGGTGATCACTTCGTAAGTTATATAAATGTCTAATCACTGTGTTGTACACCAGAAACTAACATAATATTGTGTGTCAACTGTAATTGAAAAAATTTTTTAAACAGTTAGGGAAAAGATTCATTATAATCGCACTTACTGCTGTATGCTTGTGAAAACCAGGTTATTCTAGGACTGCAGTCTTAGCATTTATCTTCATGTGGTGTTGTACATTGTATCTAGATGTTCCCCATTATTGGACAGTATGGAGATATGTTGGTGAGAAACCTGAAGAAGGAAGCAGAGAAAGGCAAGCCCATCACCTTAAAAGAGTAAGTATGAAC